ATGAGTCTATGGTTTTGACAAAAAAAGAATATTTAAATTACAAAAAAAAAATTAAATTTTTAATAAAAAAAAATTAAAAAAAACAAGGTTCTTTTATAAAATTTATAGTAAATGAAGGTACAAGTACAAGGTTTCTTTTAAAAAAAGGACAAGACAAGGTAATTAAAGGTTGGGGTTATATAAAAATTTTTTCAACAAAAATTTGGGAAATTAAAATTAATTTAATTTAAAAAATAAAATTACGGGTTAAAAAGGGGAAAAAAATTTTTAAATAAAAGAAAAAAAAAAAAAAGAATTAAAATTTTTGGGAGTTTTAAGGTTTAGGGAAAAGGTAATTAAAAGGCCCGAAATAAAAATTTATTAAAAACATAATAAAAAATATGGGATTAAATGAAAAAAATTAAAAGTAAAGAAAATTTTAATAAAAAAATTTTTTAATTTTTTTAAAAATAAAGAAATTAAAAAAAAGGGGATAATTTACAAAAAAAGTTTTTGTAAGTTTGGAACAAAAAGTTAAGAAAAAATAACTAGATTTAAAATTACCAAAAAAAAAATTTTAAATAAAGTACAAAAAGAAAATATTAAAAAATAACAATGGTTTTTAATTGGCTTGTTTAATTTTGTAAGTTGATTGGAAAGGTAACACGGTAGGTACAAATTACCACATTTTTTTTTAAAAGTTTTTTAAAGGGAAATTGGTGAGTTGTTTTTTCCCCTTAAAATTGGCAAAAAATGTTTTTGGGAGGGTTAAAATAAAATTTTTGTTTAATGGGGGATAAAATAATTTTTTTTTATGGTAGTATTGGTGTTTTTTAAAATTTTTTGGGTTTAAAAAAATTTTTTACAAAATGAGTTTTTTTTAATTAAATTAATGGAATTGTTGTTTAAACCCCCAAAATTATAGGGAGTAGGGGTAAATAAGAGAGTGATATAGGGCCAGGAGGGCTGATGTGGAGCATAGTACCGTATCTTCGATAGTATGCCTACAGTCTTGGAAATTTTCTTAGAAATTTGTTGTATATGTGTATGAAATTTGAGTCTATTATCAAGGTGGATTCCTAAGAATTTTCCCTCTGTTAGCTTTGTGATAGGTGATCCATTTATCATTATGTTAAGAGGGACATCTGTAGCTCTGTTACCAAACTGAATGAAGTAGGTTTTGTCAATGTTTAGTGTAAGTTTGTTAGTCCTCATCCAGGTAGATATTTTCTGTAATTCGGTATTTACAGTATTGGCTAGCGTGACTGGGCTTGGGTGAGAGAAGACGTATGTAGTGTCATCTGCAAAAAAGTGTGGGTTTGAGTAATTGCGAAGCATTTGGTAGGTCATTTATGTATACGAGAAAGAGAAGAGGGCCAAGGACACTTCCCTGTGGGACACCAACTGTAATTGGTTGTGCGGAAGAGTTTGCCCCATTTGCGTACACATATTGGCTTCTGTTGCTGAGGTACGACTTGAGGTAGTTGAGGGAGTGCCCTCTTATACCATAGTGTGACAATTTTATATGGAGCAAGTCATGGTCAACTGTATCAAAAGCTTTACGTAAGTCAATGAAGATCCCCAGTGCGACTTCTTTTTTCTCTATTGCAGTGTATATATGTTCTAGCATGTGTATAATAGCATCATTAGTATTTTTATTAGGCCTGAATCCAAATTGGCAGGGGTTGAGTATGTTTTGGGAGATGAGGTAGGAGTAGATTCGTTTATGAATTAATTTTTCGAAGATTTTTGAGAGAGGGTGTAAGTTGGATATAGGCCTATAGTTATACAACTCTGTTTGGTCTCCACCTTTATGGATCGGGGTGACCCTTGCTATTTTGAGAACTGTAGGGAAGGTGGAGGATTCAGTGGATTTGTTAAAGAGTGTTGCAATGATAAGTGATAGCACTTGTGACACCTTTTTGTATATAAAAGGTGGTAAGGTATTTAAATCTCCTGCCTTGTTTTTTAGTGCGTTGATAATAAGGGAGACTTTGTATGGGTTAGTCGGAGCTAGGAACAGTGTGTTCGGGTAGTTGCCAGTGAGGTAGTCATTTGGTGGGCTAGAACACATATACACTGCAATAGAGAAAAAAGAAATCCCACTGGGGATCTTCATAGACTTACGTAAAGCTTTTGATACAGTTGACCATGACTTGCTCCATATAAAATTGTCGCACTATGGTATAAGAGGGCACTCTCTCAACTACCTAAAGCCTTACCTTAGCAACAGAAGCCAATATGTGTACACAAACGGGGCAAACTCTTCAGCACAGCCAATTATAGTTGGTGTCCCACAGGGAAGTGTCCTAGCCCCTCTTCTCTTTCTCATATACATAAATGACCTACCAAATGCATCACAACTACTCAAACCCACACTATTTGCAGATGACACTACATTCATCTTCTCTCACCCGAGCTCAGTCACGCTAGCCAATACTGTAAATACCGAATTACAGAAAATATCTACCTGGATGAGTACTAACAAACTTACTCTAAACATTGACAAAACCTACTTCATTCAGTTTGGTAACAGAGCTACAGACGTCCCTCATAACATAATGATAAACGGATTACCTATCACAAAAGTCACAGAGGGAAAATTCTTAGGAATCCACCTTGATAATAGACTCAAATTTCAAACACATATTCAACAAATTTCCAAAAAAATTTCCAAGACCGTAGGCATACTATTGAAGATACAGTACTATGTTTCACAGTCAGCCCTCCTGGCCCTATATCACTCGCTTATTTACCCCTATCTCACCTATGGAATTTGTGCATGGGGCTCAACAACAATAAACCATCTCAGACCATTAATTACCCAACAAAAGGCTGCAGTCAGAATGATAAAAAATTCCCACTACAGGCAGCACACTCCACCAATATTCAAAACTCTAAACCTACTCACCATACAAAACATCCATACTTATTACTGCACCTATTACATTCATAGAACACTTAATTCTGATATAAACCCTCCCCTCAAACGTCTCCTTACCAACCTCAACAGAACACACGACCATAACACAAGACACAGATCACTCTTTGATGTTCCTCGAGGCCATCTCACGCTATGCAAAAACTCAATGCACATAAAAGGCCCTAAAATCTGGAATTCATTACCCGTGAATATAAAAGAAATACTGTCTGTTTATAAATTCAAGTCTCTTCTAAAAAATCACTTACTCACCCACAGCTAAAGAAATACTGAATAACTGTATCTCATAAATTGTATCTTGTATATGTTTCTCATTATTGTATCTCATAAATGTCTAACCTGTGACCCAATCAAACTTTATTTTTTAATTACATTACCTAACAGAATACTCCATTCTACTGAATGCTCAGCAACACAGTAAATCACCATATGACCTGTCTTTGTAATACTCATTTGTGCCAAAGTGTTATCTGTTTACAATAATGTTTATACCAATGAATATATCATTGCTTAGTTAATCTTAAGTTAATTTTAAGCCTGCTCATAATGCTCTGCATACAAGGGGCTTTGGCATGTTGCACTGTAATAACTTTGTACTTCACTGTATCATGTTCAAATTAATAAATAAATAAATAAATAAATAAATAAAAAGTATATATACGTCTTACGAGCCACCGTGTTTGACGTATATATACTCATAAATTCTAACGGCTTCAAATCAAGCAGGAGAAAGCTGGTAGGCCCACACTGTTTTTTTTTAATTAAAATGCTGGTCTGTGTGGTCAGTGTGCACCATATAAAAAAAATCCTGGAGCACGCAGTGCATAATGATAAAAAAACTCCGACCATTTTTTTTAATTAAAATGCCGACTTTGTGGTCTATTTTTGTATAGTATTTAAGATTCTATTTTCGTTTTCTTGGTCTCATTTGATAGAATGGAAAACATATTGATAGAAATAGAGGTGATTTTGATTGGTTTTACTATAAAAAGAACCTGGAAATGGAGCTCAAAGTAGGGAAAATGTTTGATTTTTGCCTATGTTCAAAAGTAAACAAATGATGTCATTGTCCAATAAATGTCCAAATAGCCATTCTAATATACAATCATGAATGGGTTGACATTACTTATACAATTATTACAATATTGCAGTAGTCTGCATAACAGTAAATCTTCTATTGTTTGTTTGAATAAAAATTCAAAGTAGAAAGCAAGAGTAATATCAGAGGGGCCTGGAGACGTGACTGATGAACAAAGAAAATGTTATTTTAGAGCCAGGAATGTCTGCATTGTTCATTCTGGACCTTATTTTGAAATTGTCGTATTTTTTAATTTTCGTGAAATTGGCCATATTGCAAATTTCTGACCATGTTATTGGGTAGTTGAAATCGATAAATGGGCAGTTTCTTGTACTCAATCGATAGAAAAATGGAGTTCTAAAGAAATAGCTATGAGTTTGGTCGACTGGAACAATGGAATTAGCTCAAAATAGGGCTCAAAGTGGGCAATAGCGCCGATTTGTAAATATTGCCAAGGTCGCTTATTTTGCGAGAGCGTAATTCCGTCAGTTTTCCATCAAATTTCGATATTTTGGTGTCATTACTATCAGGAAAAGATTCTCTATCATTTCATAAGAAAAAATAATTTTTTTTTTTGAAATTTTGCAACACCAGGAGACACCTGAGGATTGGGGGTTGCGACAGTCACGGGGTTAAAAGGTCCCCAATGGAAATAAGTTACTTTGTCTGACTTTTTTGGGTTATCTTGGGTTCTCTACACATATGCTGCTATGTATGATAATTCTATGTAACTGTATTTGTGTATACCTGAATAAACTTACTTATTCTTCAACAACACCTTTTGTGGACAGAAATGTAGCATGGTCATGAAGTTACTAAGTTTATTTAGGTACAGGCATACATAAATACAATTATCATACATAGTGTAAATTACCTAAGATAATCCAAAAAAAGTCAAAGTGACTTATTTCCAGTTGGGTCCTTGAATGACACTCCTTGTCGGTGTTTATATGGAGTCTCTGTATTAAGGGTTTTTAACCTTTGGTTAATGTATTGTTTCAGGTAAAAATAGAAGGAAGGCTAGAAAAAGCACATCAGTTGATGGAGAGGGAATAAATTATCCACTTGACATCTGGTTTATTATAAGGTAAGCAAAGTATGTCCCAAATTTATGTCATAATCTCTCTCTTATTTAGACTTTCAAATTACAAACAGTATAAAAAGCTGTGCCAGTAGGCCTATTGGAGGGTTAAACTAATCTATAAAAGTGGTCTGGTAAAAGAGTGGATGGAATTGCAGAAAATTTACTAAGATTTTTGTGAAATGATAATTGATTTTGAAGATATGAGTGTGCCTGGGAAGAGACAGGTTGCGGCAGTGAAAACAACCAAAAAGAAACACATTTTGAAAGTACAGTAACAAAGAAACTTGTGAAGTGGGTAAGAGTAAAAAAAAATAAAAGTGTTACATGTATCAAAAAAAAATAGAGGA